ACTCTCAGGTGCTTCACCTCTCCAAGCCAAGGAGCTAGCAGCGTACTTGAGGAAGGAGACACTGATGCTTACAGGTTGGAAAAGAAATGCTTATTTTTCATTGTATCTATTTTGAAACTTTGAATTTTCTGCCTTAGATGCCAATTTGTTTTATAATTTTAAAATTTAGTTCTACTTTGTGTTATTTGCTTTCTCATTGAAAGATGCTACCAGAATTTGACAGGGGTGAGTGACGATGAGCCTAGCACGTAGGTGGGAGCCACATCGTGAGAGGACCTTTATTTATTTATTTATTTTGATGCCAGGGATCAAACTTGGTTCCTTGCTCTTACAAGGGAGGCATCAGAACTACTGAGCTAAATCCCCACCCCTGAGAGGAACTTTAAAAAATGTAACTTTAAAACACTTTTCAAAGGAGAGAATTCCCTGCATATTTTTACTTCCCAGTTTTCTGGGATTTTGTGTTGGTTTATTTGTTTGGTTGTTTTGTTGTTGGTGGTGGTGGTGGTTGTGGTGATTTTTGGTTTTTTTGTTCTGGGGGTTTTGTTGTTGTTGTTGTTTTGATTTGTTTTGTTTTTTAGACATCACCTCACTGTATGGTTCAGGCTGGCCTTAAGATCACTGTGTAGTACAGGGTGGCATCAAACTCATGGCAATCCTGCCTCAGCCTCCTGAGTGCTGAGAGTGACCTGAATAAAGAAACTCAGTTCTACTTCCTTAGAGACCTGCAGTACCTACAAATTGTTCTTGCTTTTCTCTTTACTTTTCCCCCACTGACCTCTCTTCTATCCTCCCCACCTTCCTGGAAGGCACATTCAGCATCAGCTGCTAAATTCATGACGCCCTCATCTGCAAGGCTCAACCCTGTTTACAGGGCAGAGGTGAAGCTAATGTGAATTGGAAATGTGTGAAAGATTGTCTTTGTTCAGAGAGGCTTTCTATTATCTTAGAATGGAGAGAAGCTTTGTGGTTTTCTCAAATGCACTGGAAAACACTGAAAGAAGATTGAGAGTGCTTAAAAGAGAGAGGCCACAGTGTCTTTGTCAAACCCATCACAAGGGAAGAGACATGAGGGAGAAACCTATAGATTAAAAGAGTCTCAACTGGGTATGGTGGCACATGCCTGTAATCCCAGCATGAGGGAAGCTGAGGCAGGAGGATCACTGTGAGTTCAAGACCAGCCTGGCCTGGATAGTGAGTTCCAGGTCAGTCTCAACTACATAGTAAGACCCTGTCTCAAAAACCAAAAAAAAAAAAACAAAGAGTCTCTAGAGATACAGCAACAGATTTTAGTGTTTGAGTCTTACTCAGGTCACAATTCAAACAACGAAAGTGCAAAAGAGTAAAATTTGATGTTTATGAGACAACTGGTTATTTGAGAGCTGACCAGATAACTGATATTAGAATTTATTGTGAATTACTTTAAATTTGATAATACTATGATGCTTTTAAAAAAGTTTTTCTTCTTTAGATATGAATATTTATAAACAAAATGTGCTACCTGAGGTTTGCTTCAAAAATAATATGGGGAAAGGGCCAGGGATTTAGGTCAGTGGTGCTGCACCTGCCTCGCAAGCCTGAGTTCAATCCCCAGTATCGGAAAAAATAAAACAAAAAATAATATCGGAGGGGGCAGATGCTATGTTGGGGAGAAGTTGTAAGGGTATAAGTGAAACAGAATTGAATACCAAGCTAGCAATAGAGACAGAGTGAAGGCTGCATAGGGATTTTACTATGCTCTTTCCCCCATTTTTGTATGTTTGACATTTTTTATTAAAAAATCTGTTTTAGAAGAAAGAAGCATCATACTCTGACTTCTACTTTGGTGAAAACTGGAGAATGGAGAGAAGGGAATGGTGGGAGGAGGAGCCTGGAGCTTGCTTGGAAGTGGACAGGGTCCAGGCAAGGGGACAGGAAGTCACAAAGGACAGCATAGGCACGAGAGAAGAGAGATGATGGACGGGAAAAAGATATGGGCCACTGCTTTCTTCCTTCTCTGTTTGCCTTTTTCTCACTTGCTGTTTATGAGAAGTCATACTGGAAATTTAGCAACGAAGATCCTCAGGCACCAAGCCACAGAATTCCAATTTAGGTGGCAGGGCCTTAGAGTCTGCCTTTTCAGCACAGGTCCTAGGAGAACAGGATGACTGGATCTCCCTAGGAGCCCCTGAACCTAGTCCCTGCAAAGGGCTTGGTACATCTGTCCCTAGTCTTTACATCGCTACATCGCCAGACGATGACCAAGCCGCTCTGCCTTGCAAAGCCGTCCACTGTCTCAAGGCAGAAAAAACTTAAGCTGATGGGAAAATATGCAAGGAAGCTGAGTATTGATTTCCTTTAATGCATCTGTGGAAATATGCAAGTGTTGAAGGTCTCTTGAGTAGAGAACAGAAATTCATCAGCCAGCTACAGCCTGAAAGGCATCTCCTTTACAACCCTCTAACGCTTTGTGCTAATGTTCTCTGCTTCTATATTCACTTACCAACTTTCTGATTTTTAATGGGACTCTCCTAAGGAGGAGAAAAATTCAAAACACTTAATGGCTGCCACCAGTGCCATAGCTCTTGATAGAGCTACCTTGTATTGACAATTTTCATAAATTGATTTTCTGCCTTCCATGTCTCCAGCAAGCCTCTATGCAGAAGAATTAGGTCACTAACATCTGATCCCCTGCAAAGGACGAAACTTAAGCTTCAGGACTGGGTATGGTAATGAATCAGCTTGGATCTGAGCCGGCACTACCAGAAAGATTTTATAGTTTGTATCTAGATGTCCTCCCCAAGCCTCGCGTGGTCATATGTGGGGATGTGGGGAGGTGACTCGATCGTGGGAGCATGATACTCATCAGTGGATTTGGCGACTTTTGATAGCTAAGTGTGACGCTGGGAGGTGAAGCCTGATTGGAGCAGGCGGTAGAAGGGGGCGTGGTCTGGAAAGGTCTGAGGTGTCTCTCCTCTGCCACGCCCCTCTGCAGTGTCAGTCTGCCTTGGAACCAGATGACTATGACCTGAAACCTGTACAGACCGTGAGCCAAAATAAACCTTTCCTCCTTACAATCGTGGGTGTCGGGTAATGTGTCCCAGCAACGAGAAAGTAACTAAGACAAACAGTAACTCCCAGGCTAAGCGATTTCCCCTTTAGAGGTAACTAGACAACCCTGCGCCTACGCATTCTTGGCCCCATCATTCAGAACAGAAGATCAGAAATTATGAGTAAGCCAGACTCAGAAAGCTCAACATTGCACGGTTTCTGTTACATGAGAAACCAACCAAACAAAAGAAATTTACTTAGATAAGGGCGAGACGACAGGCAACCAGAAGGCAGACCTTTGGAGAGAGAAAGGTAACTAGCGGAGAGGGAAGAAGTGAAGAAGGAAAGTAACAAGATTGAAAATGAGCAAGGCACAAGGACCCAAGTGTGACAGTGTGACCTTCGGTACCAAAACGAGCAAGAGGCGAGCCGGGGGTTTAGCTCAGCGGTTCCACCACCTGCCTTGTAAGCGCGAGATCCTGAGTTCAATCCCCCGTACCAAAAAGAAAGAAATAAGCAAGATACGTTAAATGTATGTACCACTTTCCCAAATTGAACCTCACTAATCTGTATTACTAACGTGCTCTAATAAAAATTAAATTAAAAAAAGAAATATGACTAATCAGGGGATTAGCTCAGCGGTTTGGTGGCCTGCCCTCTTCCCTACAACCCTGTGCCTGCTTGGGTGTTACAAGATCTTCAGCAGGTGAGGCCAGCAAAGTTGTTGGTTTTAAAAAAAAATTTTTTTTAATAGCAAAACATTTATTGGTACATTTTAGGCATATATAATGCTAACACATCCTAGGGAATGTGCACCTGGAGACCAGAAAGGTTAAAGAAAGAAGTTTTGAAACGCACAGGGCAGTCTGCTGGCCCTGGGCCTTAATGCTGGAGAAGATATTACCAGACTTTTTCTAGTACCTCTGGTATAGAAAGGAGACAGGAAGGAACAGGAGCAGCTGGACCACACCGTCCCTCGGGACCAGCTGTGAAAAGTCAGACTCCGCTATCCGGTTCAGAGCGCTCTCCTTCCTTGTCCCGCCCCCATCTCGCCGCTGGCCACCAGCTCGAAGCTAGAGGCAGAGGCCCCAGGCCTTCAAGAGGGCTTTCTGCTCCCACCTGTAACCCTTGTGCCACAGCATTGTCCTGTGAATCAAAATTCCCCACCGGCTGCTGGATCCATGGAAGCCGGAATTGGCCAGCTGCCTACAGGGTTAGAAAGTCACCTCCTGCTCTTGCAAGGACCTCATCAAGGCACAGGCTACATGGGAGCGCAAAGTGACCAGAGGGGCCTTTCAGTGAAGCCTAAGCACAAGATCGAGGCCGGCCTGAACTACACACCGAGACCATCTCTCAAAAAGCAAGCAAACAAAAACGACAGAAAGGAGAGGATGCAAACAGACAGGCAGAGGATATCTAGTCTGGATGACAGCCGGGCCTGGACATCAGGAAAAAATATGCAGAGTGCTTAGTGGGAACACCGCTTGGCAGGGATCAATTTAGTGAAAGCAATAAGAGGATTCTGTGGATTGGATCAGAAAGTGTGCGCGAGGCCTGGGAAGAGACAAAGAGCCTCGAGGTTAGCCTGGGCCAGGTGAGTGTGCAGAAGTGTGAACAAATTACAGGGGTGCACGGCCAGAGGAAGCCCACGGATCTGTAAGGAGGCGAGCCGTGGGTAGCGGGGAGAAGAGTGCAGTGCACTAAGGGCCAGAAGGGTGACGCCCCGCCAGGGCTCTGCAAAGTTGGGGAGCGGGACGAGAAGGAGAAGGTGGGGCGCAGGGGTGCCTCCAGAGAGGCGCGAGGAAGGGCGCGCCCTCTAGCGGCCAAACTGAGCCATAGCCCTGCCCTAGCCCATGCGCTTTGCCAGCGCCGAGGTTCCTTTCCTCTCGCGGCCCAATAGTTCCGGCTGTGGCGCGCCGGCGGAAAGTTTAAGCTGACGGACCGTGGCCGGCGATGGGCTCGGGGTGAGTGGGGAGGCCAGGGCGCCGGGGTTGCATTACTGTTTTTGTCGGGGCCCCGCGTGGAAAGGTTAGGGGTGAAGAACAACGCAGGACCTGCCTTCTTGCCGCCTCGGCAGACGCCCCGCGCTGTCGCCGAGCCGCTGGTTCCGGGCCCTGCTCCCGGCCTCCCCTCGCCCTGCGGCCCGGAGTCTCCAGCTCCCTGTACACTGCACGATTTGGCCCCTGCCCTGGCGCCCTCCTTCCCAGCAGAGACTTCCAGATCTCAAATGCTTTTGACTGATTTTAAAGGTAAAAGCACTTCCTTCAAGTGCAAACCAAATGTAGGAATTGTGTATTTCCAGGCTGGACGTTTAGAGACGAAGCCGACTCCGAGAGCTCCGAGGGCCTCCTCAGGGCAAGTCAGGCTGACAGGGATTAGGTAAGGGAAACTATGGAGAATCAGTATTTTAATCAGCTCCAGAGAAGAGTTGTGTGTACCTGATGGAGACTTAGCCCGTTTTTTTGGAGCCTTGGCATTTAATGCGAAGTCAAGCAGCTAAGATTTATCCTCAGAAGTAGGCTGTTCTTGAGAAGGAACACCCCTAGTTGTCTGAAGCACTTTTTATAAACAATACAAATGGGAAAGGGTAGGGCAGGTGGAGAAATGTGAGCCTCAAATTCAACCCAAGCGAGGAATGCTTTATTCCTCACAAAATTACAATGTTCTCACAAAATTACTAAACGGGTGGGCAGGGATTCTTTGGTTTTATTTTTTATTAGGCCTAGACTGCTTGAATGAGCAATCATTCTTCAAAATTTCACTTCCCTCTTTACCCCTGAGCTTACAACCTGGCCGTACTAAATTGTTTTCTCACAAATTTGCCACTGCTGAGATGCATCCAGGAAGAAAAACCAGAGCTAGCTTCAAGAAAGCAAGACCGACTGTTGGGGTTACCCGTTTCAATGTTAACAGCACGTTTCACGGGCTCCAAAAGTGTTTTTTCATACCTAATGTAGGTCTTTGTGAAAGATTTCCCCTTCTCATAGGACATTACTCCTTGTGATCTTTGACTCTGAAAAACATAAAGGCCTCCGTGCATGAATGACAGTACCACAGGAGCTGACTAAACTACCTGGTTGCAGGTGTGAGGGCCCTTTTTCAGCCTTGAAGAGGAATAGAAGGAAATGTGATTCTGCTAACCAGAATTAAAATCTGTAACATATTTTTGCTAAAGAGTTACTGCTATACGTTATGAGGTGATCGGGGGTGGTTCACTAGACATTATCAAGTATTTGTTGAGCAGTTACTCTGCTAATTTCTGAGGAGACATTGGTGGGTGAAATCTGCCATGGGCCCTGTCCTTAGTGAGCATATGGTGTAATGTACTGTAGTTGAACCAGTATGGTACAGGCCTTCACTTCTTGAACAGCATAGCACAGAAAGGAATTAAACACTGAGTAGACAAAATAGTACCAAGTTGATTCACCTCAGCTCATGCAATTTACTGTAGAAGACACCACCAGGTTCTCAAAGTCTGTTAATTTTGACTTAATTACCTGGCTTTCCGATCCATGGCAACCACAACTGAGCAAATCAGCAAAAGGGAGAATGATTACAGAGGATTACCACGAAAAGTGGAATGCATACTTACAGTCTAAGAATTAGAATCCAAGTTAAAAGGCACAAAAGAAACAGGAATCCCTTCAGTGTTGTTTCTGTGTGTGTTCTATACAGTGTTTGTTTCCTGGGACCTTAACAGCAATTATGTAGAGAAGTGTTAAATGGGAAACGGGATTGGTTTGGGTTTGTTTTTTATTTTGTTTTGGGTGGTTTTTTTTTTTGTTTTTTTGTTTTTTGGTACTGTTGATTGAAGTCGGGACCTTGCGCAAGGCAGGTGGTGGCACCACTGAGCTAAATCCCCAGCCCCAGGAAACAGGATCAGTAAATTAGGCTTTGCTGTAGAACTTCTCAGCATCTTTAATTTTTCTTGAGTGTCTCTCCAGAGCATTGTTCTGCAGCCCACACTTAGGGAAATGCTGGGATAAAGAGAAACAGTAGGGAGTGTGCTGGACAGTACAGTATTGGTATTCAGAATGGCAACATCAAGTCATCTTAAGAGAGTAAATTATGGGGCCGGGGATTTAGCTCAATGGTGCTGCTGCCTGCCTTGCAAGCACAGGGTCCCGAGTTTGATCCCCAGTAAAAAAAAAAAAAAAAAAAAAAAAAAAAAAGTAAATTATGTTTGGTACACATGTTTAATGAGGGGGGTTACATATTTTAATTTCTTATCAAAATGATTAAATATTTTAGACTTGTTAGGAGTTGGAAAATTAATTCTTATCTCTGGTTTTGCTTTATTGTTGGATTCAGGAGACATTACTGTATTTGAAATGTATCTATGCCCTTTGTGTGATAAAAGGCTTTTCTTATTTGATTTAAGCTGCATCCCTAACCCCTTCTTACAACGTTATTTCCGTGAACTACTGTTCCCAGAAGACTAATGGATTTTTTTTTCTTTTAGACTTCTGAAGCTTTATTAAAGTTAGGCAGCAAGAAGAGTAGTCAAGGATTCTTCCAGCTACAATTATCACGAAGCTGAAGAGAATATGTCAGTTGTGTCTGCCCTGGATAACTATTCATGACTGGTTTAGGAAAGAGGCCATGGGGTCATCTGGCCTCTGACATTTCATTCTGTTGCCTCCATTTCCTCTTCAGTGGGCTCTGGAGTTTCATATACACTATTATAAGGCTGCTTCCTCTCATCAATCTGCGTGATCTCCTTGACTTGAAGAAGACGGGCTTCCTCTGCATTCAGTGCCTTTTTCAGTTTTTCATGTTTCTTTTGCTCATTGCTCTCTGAAGTACTCTTTCAGTGCTTCTTTTCCTTTTTCTTCTTTTTCTCCTCTTTTTTTGGTGCATCTCCATGAGGATCTGAGGCTTTTTCATGCATTCTTCTCCACTTACATAATTTGTAATGCATGCCTCTGAATTAATGACCTCCCTCCTTCCCAGCTTCTCTTGTATTGTAGGAATACTTGAGAAATGAGTGGCAATGTTTGTGTCCCCATTTGCCTTCTTTCCAGTAAGATCCCCAGATATGTGTGTGATTGTTGATCTTCACTCTTCCTCGTACTTGAGCAGGCAGTGGATCACTCCTGTCCTTTAACGACCATGCCTTATCTTGAGTACTCCACGTAGTCTTCATTCTGGGATAAGATCAACTCAACTGGAGGCACATCCATCTTGGCCACCATACTTTTCCAGGATGCTTTCTTTCTGCTCTTCTCTGAAATCTTTTTTGACTTTGAAGGACTTAAACAACAGCTCAGATTTTGTGGGATATGCCTGTAGATGCACTTTGGATCCTCTGCCATAGGCCTCCCAAGCAAACAACTGTGTCTGAGCTGTTGCAATAGTATTTCCTGTGTATCTAACAAAAGTTACCTCCAGTGTAACTCATTTCTTCTGGATCCTTTCCTGCATTGGCATATGCATTCTCTCTCATTGCCCTAGCTTTTGGTTCACAGTAGGCACAATTAGTATCCAAATTTCTCAAATATATTTCAATATCTTCTCAAATCCTGAGGTTCTGGACAGTAATTTGTCTCTCAGAGTCAAAATTCTGTCCAGACATGTCAGTGTCATCCACATATTTATCTTCATCCTCATCTTCACTGTTATGATCTTTTTTCATCTGAAAATTTGGTTCTTCTCCTCACTGGTGTTTTGGAGAATTAGCTTGTTCTGCTAATTTTCTTGAGGCTAATTCTTCTTGGAGTTTCTGGGGTTTCAGTGTTTGTTTTGCCAGATCACTTTTTGTATACTCTTCCATCATTTTCATGTGTTCTTCTGGATTATAGCCATTCCATCGATCTCTCTTCCCATCATAGTCAAACATCAGCTGAGGCTAGACATGTTCGTCTGGAGCTATATTAGTAGCTGTAAATTTCTTCCTTGTTTTTTGGTGCTGGGGATCGAACTCGGGATCTTGCGCTTGCAAGGCAGGCGATAAACCACTGAATTAAATTCCTAGCCCCAGTAGCTGTAAATTTGGCTCCAACTCACCTAGGTCTCTCAAAGCAGTCTTTCTTTTTTTTTTTTTGGTATGGGGGATCAAACTTGGGATCTTATGCTTGGAACCACTGAGCTAAATCCCCAGCCCTAGCAGTCTTTTTGTGTGTTATGGCCCAATTCTCATATGCTCCTTTTCAGTACTTAGTAGTTATAGAATTTTCATTTACACTTCTCTTGTACCATTCTCCAGAGGAGCTGAATTGCTTCTGTTTTTCTGGTTGTGGTTGCTGGTGCTTTTCCTAATGGAATTTTAGAATATCACACATTTGCATTTGACCACTGTACCAAGAAGCAGTCTGGTTTCTGTTTTTGAGACAAGGTCTTGCTCTGTAGTTCAGGCTGGCCTTTATATGTAGCCCAAATTGGCCTCAAATTTGTAGTAATTCTCCTGTCTCAGCCTCCTGCGTGCTGGGATTACAGGTGTGCACCATCACACCTGGCTATTGTTAAATGTTTTGAAGTAAATTCCAAAAATAAATTAGTGAACATTGAATTTCTAATCTGTTTATGTCTACCTAAAATCTTTTCTAATGGTATCTGTAATGTGATTCTTATGAAGTTGGAAGCAGTGTACACTATCCTGTGACCTGCTTTTCTTAGTCACTGATACTTTATATAAACATTTTTATATCTGTGTCATTTAGTTATGGCATATAATTATTCCATTGTGTCAGCACACTGTGGTTTACTTAATAATAGAGTAGCAAGAAGCTGTAGCCCCATGAACAAGTCTGTGTATCCATGAACTTTTTTCATCATTTTTGAGCATGGAAATGTTTTTTGTGTAATTCTTTTTTTTTCTTTCTTTCTGTATGAGATTGAATGAAATCTCAGTGAGAGGCAAGAGCTCTAGTACTAAGCTGTATCCCCAGTTCTTTCAGTTTCACTTGAGACAGAGTCTCACTGACTTACCCAGCCTGGGCTTGAACTGGTGATGCTACTGCCTCAGCCTCCAGGGCAGCTGGGATTGCAAGCATGAGCCACCATGCCTAGCTCCTCATGGCCGTTCTTAATCCTTCATTTTATTAAAGAATTACTCATTTCCTCCATTTCTGCATTTAAACTTTCCTATACAATCACATATGAGAATTCCAGCTTTATGCCATACTTCAATTTTCCTTCATGATTAAAGCATCGGTGGTATTACCAATGCCGACTGTGTATTGCTTTTGTTATGCTTAATGATTTCCTGTGTTTTCTAATTTGGATTCTGACTTTACTGGCCATTTTCATATTTTGTATTTTTTTTCAAGGCTGGCAATAGAATAAAGTCCTGAGCCACAAAATAGTTAAACACATGGACTAATACTGCTGTGTTGATTACAGTGCTGGTGGTAGCAAAAAAGAAGAAAGGACATTTGTCACATACTGTACAGTGGTACCACCAGAGGTAAATAGAAATGTTCAGTAAATTTAGTTTTGGAGAGGTGGTGTAGGTATGTTTATTGTATTAAGTTGTGTAAAAAATGAAAATATAAAAAAGTCCAGAGCTATCTGAATTTTTTTTTTCAATAGAAATACTTATGGTGGCCTCGATGCCACTTAGTGGGTGATTCTGGAATGGTCCTCACAGTGAACTAAGCTGCTTGCTTCTTTCTGACTACATTTTCTGCAAATTGCCCTCTCTTCAGTGTCAGTATGCTTGCCTTCGTTTATTTCTGGGAAAATGCTTAAAATTATGATGAAAAATTGTTTTCCTTCCCATGACATGTAAGCCCATTTTGTTTTCCACAGCATTGTTCTACTCGTAGCTGTCTCTTTGCAACCTGACTGGAGGCACCAGGGTGGTCTTCACCATGCCAACGGTGGTGGTGATGGATGTGTCCCTTTCCATGACCCGCCCCGTGTCCATCGAGGGGTCGGAGGAGTACCAGCGCAAGCACCTAGCCGCCCACGGTCTGACGATGCTGTTTGAGCACATGGCCACGAATTACAAGCTTGAATTTACAGCCCTGGTGGTTTTTTCATCACTCTGGGAATTGATGGTTCCCTTCACAAGAGATTATAACACCCTGCAGGTACAAAAAAGACTACATTCTTGTGTGTACAGGGCCTGAAAACTGCATTATTGTATTACACTGAATTTGTAGAACTTGGAATTATTTAATAATAAGTGTATAATAATATGTATAGCTGTAAAGCAAGATCTACAACTAGTAAATCTCCTGTCTTTGTACAGTAGAACTGTGGGGTAGAGGTGGGGGTTTCTGCCTTATTCTCTTGGTTTTCTGAAATTCTCTATAGGCAGGAGAACATCTCAGGATGCGATGCTCTGTTTCCTAAAATTAAGCATCTTTAGATTCAATGCTGCTTTTTTTCTCCCTTTCCATAAAACTTGGGGAAGTGAAAAATATCTCTTCTTTATTAAAAAAAAAAAATGATATTACTCTCCAGCAAGGAGCTTTGGTATACAGATACCAAGAAATTAAACTTTTTCTACCTTGATTGGTAGGTATTTTCTTCCCAAGGTGTCTTCTGTGATGTGCCAAAGAGTTTACTTTGTGATTTCTCTAAATCGTTATTTCCAGCAGTGCTTAGTGTAGAGCCTTACCCAGGATGAGCAATCATTGCTTATGAGATTAAGCCACAATTTAATAATCATTAGGCAACTTAGAATCCAGGATCAATGTAGTTTGAACTTTTAAAAATATTAAGTGTGTGAGCCAGAAATGTAGCTCAGTGGC